AATGTAGATATAGTATTTTTGTAGTTGTTCTTGTATCTGATGGTGTTTTATTGTTATAGTTTGAAGTGAATGTAGATATAGTATTTTTGTATCTTATGGTGTTTTATTGTTATAGTTTGAAGTGAATGTAGATATATTATTTTTGTATCTTATGGTGTTTTATTGTTATAGCTTGAAGTGAAAAGTGGATGTAGATATAGTATTTTTGTAGTTGTTCTTGTATCTGATGGTGTTTTATTGTTATAGTTTGAAGGGAAAAGTGAATGTAGCCAAGATAGATAAACAGAAATCTCCTGAGCTTGTAGAGAGGTTCCATGTGACAAAATGCCCAGAAATTCTGTAGTAAGTCAGCTTCATGGTTTTTTCCATTGATATATATATGGCAGTGTTAAAACAGTTGTAATATTCTAAGATATAATTCTGCGTATACATACAGTGTTTGTTATTTGTCGAGTTCATTTGTGTATGTGCAAAAAGTAGTTCTTAGCTTTTATCTATTTCAGGTTTCATTACATTGAAGAGCAAACTTACTTAGACAGGTATAAGGATTAAACAAAATACACAGTTTGATTCACAAAATTTTGTACAAAAGTATTGTTTTATGTAATCATAAACTGAAAAGTTTTGTCAAACTTAATTTCAGTTCTTGTGATTATGATGTGAGTGTTTAATTTGTATTTGTCTGTAGAAATAAAGTAAAAAATAAATCAGTTGGTTAAAATTTTTATTACCAGTGCATAAAAAGAAAATAATAACTCTTTGTTTTCAATGTGTATAAAATACTTTTAGAACAGCATTTATTAGACTTGTGTATGTATACATTATGTGACAAAGTCCTTGCTAAAAATTAAGTAACTGATATGATATAATGTTTTGTTTTTTTTCTCTGCTGAAGGAAGAAAAATTAAATTTCTAAATTTTTCCTAGCCTGAATGCACTTTTCACAATTATTCAATTAATTTACCAATGGAATGTAGTCAACGTAACTTATTAAAAGTTTGTATTTTATACGTCATTTATTATTTTTTTCAGGTGAATCAGTATTTTACGTGTGCGTGTGGAGTTACGTAAAACAATGCTTCAAAAAAAAAAAAAAGTTACATTAATAATTCATTCTGCCTTTTAAATGGTTTTTATTTAAGTATAATTTATTTACTTCATTTTTAAAGCTTTTAACCTGTTTTTTAAAAAACACCATTCAAATTCTTACAATTCAAAACAGGAGTCTGGAAATTTAGAATATTACTTCTGTTGAAAACTGTCACAAATCCTTTCTTTAACAGTTCATTAAGAAAATATCTGTTCAGGAATAATAAATAATCACTATAAGCTGAAACTGATTGTAAAAGGCATTTTTAATTTTCTTAAGTTAACTTTTAAGAGGAGTTCAGATAATTAATGTTTTTATTATTCTGTACTGTTAGGTTGATTTACATTTATTTCTCATTATTCAAGACGTTTTTTTTTTGTATCTAAGATCAATTCTTGATTTTATCTTGTGATACCTTTATAAATCTATTCATTGTGTTATTTATTTCATATATATTTCAAGAATTATTATTCCCAGATTGATGTTTTTTTGTGTAATGTTGTAGAAGTCTTGTTTTAAAAATTCTGAGCCTAATCAAATAATTATCATATTTAACAGGGTTATTATGTTTTGTAATTTGGTGTCTTGTGGTCTTCTTTGCTTAGTTGTGATAATTTACCTTTTAAAAATTCTGAGCCTAATCAAATAATTATCATACTTAACAAGGTTATTATGTTTTGTAATTTGGTGTCTTGTGGTCTTCTTTGCTTAGTTGTGATAATTTACCTTTTAAAAATTCTGAGCCTAATCAAATAATTATCGTATTTAACAGGGTTATTATGTTTTGTAATTTGGTGTCTTGTGGTCTTCTTTGCTTAGTTGTGATAATTTACCTTTTAAAAATTCTGAGCCTAATCACATAATTATCGTATTTAACAGGGTTATTATGTTTTGTAATTTGGTGTCTTGTGGTCTTCTTTGCTTAGTTGTGATAATTTACCTTTTAAAAATTCTGAGCCTAATCACATAATTATCGTATTTAACAGGGTTATTATGTTTTGTAATTTGGTGTCT